TAAAGGTAAGAATCCTGACTCCTGCAAGTTCCCGCAGGTTCCAGGAGGCCCGTAAAGGCTTCTGGAGGCCCAAGGAGGATCAGAACGTTCAAAGATTTTCCGAAGGCGACCGAAAAGCTCCTCGAGGCGACGCACACCACACGTGCGGGGGGCCTAGCAGGGGTCTCACGAGGCCTCTTCTTCTTCATCTGGCTCCTCCCCCTCCTCCCCCTCTTCCTCCCTCCTCCTCCTCCTCCTCCTTCTGTTCGTCCTGCTCCTCCTCGTCCTCCTCATCTGTGACATCAAGCATCACCTTGTTACAGCACTGCCGCTTTCTCTGCCAGGCCGCGGTCCACCGAACGAGTTTGGCGTTACACAGGTCGGCCCGTGTGGCATCCTCTAGATTTGCCCTGCGGTCGCGATGGGTCGAGAGCCTGTGGTCGCGGCGAGATCTTGTGGTCCTGAGGTCCCGGGGTCGGGCGGGGCTGGGACAGGGATGACTCGTTCCAGCGCGTTCCGGAACGCTCTCAGAGCGTTCAGGGGCGCTCTGGAAGGGCCGCGGTGCCCGACGTATCCTCCAGAGCCGCCGGGTCTCAGAGATCCCCACGGTCCGATTTTGTCTTGGTCCGTGCTTCGTCCTTCTGGGGGCATCGGGGCCCCAGAAGGCCCCGGAAGACTGCCTGAAGCCCCAGAATGGCCAGCACATCTAAAAGCATGCTGCAGGCGCCCGAAGATCTCCCTCGTAAAATCCTCGAGGGTCGACGGCAAAGCTCACCAAGCGGGAGGGGAGGCGGTGCGCTGCCACGAGCTGGCGGCGAAGGCGCGCGAGGCGCTGGGGGCCGCCGACAGCGAGCACCGCGACCTGTCGCAGCAGTTCCTGCGAGACATCGCCGCCTGCGTCGCGACCACCTACGCCAACCTGGCGCAGGCGCTCCAACGACGACGGCGACGACGACGGCGGCGGCGGCAGCGGCGACGAGGACGACGGCGGCGGCGACGACGACGACGACGGCGACGGCGACGACGAGGACAACGACGATTGTGGCGACGATGGCAGCGGCGGCGGTGGCGGCGACGTGACGGCGACGACGACGACGACGACGACGTCGACGACGACGACGACGACGGTTGCGGCAGAAGCGGCGGCGACGACGACGACGACGGCGACGGCGACGACGATGACGACGACGGCGACCACGTCGGCGATGGCAGCGATGACGACCCGACGACGATGACGACGACGACGACGACGACGACGACGACGACGACGACGACGACGACGACGACGACGAGGACGACAAGCACCAGACCGCCTTGCGTCGCGAAACAACACGATACACACGGCGGACGGCGCGCCGGGAGGGCGCGCTGAGAGGGCGCGCTGGGGAGATGGCCTGCCTGAAGAAATGCCCGTTCGCTCCTCCTTCTCCCCCTCCCCTTCGACAGGGGCCAAGAGGCATCCGAAAACACAACAGCGCTCGACGCGCCTATTCGACGACGCCCGGAAGTCTGTGTTCTCCCGGGAGGATCAGGTTCAGCACCCTCGACACTCGATGGCCGATGGCAGAACTTGGCAAACGGCGCACCCCGTTCGGAGTTCTTCCGCGTTGCTGGCGCCGCCGCGCAGAACGGCCCGCGGCCGCGACACCTCGTCGGCGTCGCCGCCATTATCTTGCAGACTCGCCGCGTCGTCGCCGCCGCCGTCGCAGTCGTCGTCGTCGTCGTCGTCGTCGTCGTCGTCGTCGCTGCCGTCGCCTCCACCGTCGTCGTCGTCGTCGTCGTCGTCGTCGTCGTCGCCGTCGTCGTCGTCGTCGTCGTCGTCGTCGTCGTCGCCGTCGTCGTCGTCGTCGCCGTCGCCGTCGCCGTCGCCGTCGCCGTCGTGGTCGTCGCCGTCGCCGCCCCGAGGTGCTCACGCCGCCCGCGGGCACGTGCCTGCTGCCCCAGCTCGCGGGGGGCACGGCGCCGAGGGGGCCGACGCCGCCCGCGCAGAAGCCGGGCCTCCAGGCGGCGGCCCCCCGTCCGCTGGGTTGGGGGAGGGAGGGGGGGAGGGGGGAGGGAGGGGGGGAGGGAGGGGAGGGGAGGGGAGGAGGGAGGGAGGGAGGGGGGAGGGGAGGGAGGAGGGAGGAGAGGGAGGGAGGGAGGGAGGGAGGGAAGGAGGGAGGGAGAGAGGGAGAGGAGGAGGAGGAGGAGGAGGAGGAGGAGGAGGAGGAGGAGGAGGAGGGAGGAGGGGTGAGGAGGGGAAGCGGGAGCGCGGATCGATGAGCAAGCAGCGACAAGCGAGGAGGATGATGCGCAAGGGGCGAGGAGCGAGGAGAGGGGAGAGGGAGGAGGAGGAGGAGGAGGAGGAGGAGGAGGAGGAGGAGGAGCGAGGAGCGAGGAGCGAGAAGCGAGGAGCCCGCAGGCGTGGCGGATGTCGCAGCCCCCCGCCTCGTCCCTCGCGCTCCGCGAGGGCCCGGTGGAGCGGCCGCCCAGGCCGGGGTGCGGTGGCAGAGCGGCCTCGCCGCTGCTGTGCTCTCTGTGACCCGACTTGTGCTCTCCTCCTCCTCCTCCTCCTCCTACTCCTCCTCCCCTCTCTCTCCTCCTCCTCCTCCTCCTCCTCCTCCTGCCTGCTCCGCCTCCGCACGCTCGACTCCTCCTGCCTGCTCCTCCTCCTCCTCCTGCCTGCTGGTCATCCTCCCCCTCCTCCTGCTTCTGCTGCTCCTCTGCCTCCGCCTCCTCCTCCTGCTCCTCCTCCTCCCCCTGCTCCTGCTCCTGCTCCTCCTCCTCTTGCACACATTTCTCTTTCTCCTCCTCCTCCTCCTCCTGCTCATCCTGCTCCTCGTGCTCCTCCTGCCCCTCCTGCTCCTCCTGCTCCTCTTGCTTCTGAATATCATCCTCCTCCTCCTCCTGCCACTCCTGCTCCTCCTGCCTGCCTGCTCCTCCTCCCCCTCTTCCTTCTCCTCCTCCTCCTCCTCCTCCTCATCATCATCATCATCATCATCATCATCACCATCAGCATCAGTATCATTATCAGCATCATCATCACCATCAGCATCAGCATCAGCATCGTCATCATCACCGCCATCATCATCAGTATCATTATCAACATCATCAGCAGCATCATCATCATCTGCATCTACATCATCATCAGCATCATCATCATCACCATCATCGCCGTAGCCATTTTGGCTCAAGGCTGATGCTTTGGGGGCTGCAAGCCCCGAGGCAAAACTGGAGACCGCTGGTCCGCGGACATACCCCGATTGTTTGTGCAACCTCGTCTAGGCTTTGCGCTGGACGTAGGCGAAGAGAAGTTTTTGTGAGCTCCTGCAGGAGCACCCTCTCAGCCTTGTGCCCATCATGGCATGGCGCTCCCAGACGCCGTGGGCGAAGGGGGGCAAAGGCAAGCAGTGGCCAGGGCAGAAGGGTGGGCGACGCCGCGGAGCCAACTCAGTCTGCTCGAAATGCGGCCACTGGGAGTACGACCACTTCGGCAACTGGACGTGCAGCGTCTGCGGCGGCAGCTACCTTGGCGATGCTGCCCATGTTCCTCATGTTGCTGATGCTGGAGTGCCTGATCAATTCGCGGCTGACTTGCAGGCGTTGGCGGCGAAGTACCCAACCATGGCGGCCGCCCTTGGACAGCTCCAGGGCGCGGCCCCACCACCTGCGCCTGAAGCTCGCGAGCCTGCTTCTGCCAATGACATCGAGAAACAGATCCAGGCCCACCGTACGGAGCTGTCCCGTGCGGTTGAGAAGGCGAGCAGGAAGGAGCGGGTGGCCCAATCTGACGTTCAGCAGCGTCATGAGGCTGTCGTTCGGCATCGTGAGGCTTTGGCCAAGGCTGAGCGTCTGCACGTGGAGTCCCAGCAGTGGCACGCCGAGTCCGCCGAAGCTCTTCGCGAGGCCAACGCCCAGAAGGACGGCTTCAACGAAGTCCAATACCGTGAGCAGCTCCGTGCCAAGGAGCGCGAGGAGGCGGCAGCTGCTGCCCGTGCTGCGCAGGCCGCTCATGACGAGGCGGCGCGGCAGGCGGGCGGAGGGGCACCCGGTGCGGCTGGCGGGGCCCCTGCGGCAAGCGCCCCCGCAGGTGGCCCGCCACCAGGCGGTGCAGCTCATCAGGCCGCCCCTGATGCTGTTGCGCCGCCTCCTGGAGTCACAGCTTTGGGCAATGTGGACTTCCAGTGGGTTCAGGACCACCTTCATGAACTCTCTGAGCCTGATCTTCAGCGTTTCCATGGGCGCTCGCATCTGTCTCCAGAGCAGTGGGTCGAGATGCGCAAGGTTGCCCTCCAGCAGCGCGCCGCCGAGCTGGAGATCGACATGGCCTCGGAGGCGGCCAGCGAAGCTGGGGATCCTGATCTTCCTGGTGATGAGACTTCTGAGCTGCGTGACCTCCGCAAGCGCGCAGCCGATACAGGCTTGGACCCGCAGGCCGCGGAGCGGTATGGAGTACTGCTCTCGAAGGTCGCGGTGGCTCGAGCCGCCAAGCGTGCCAAGAAAGCGGTGCGCGAGCAGTCTAATCACACATCCGTCGCCTTCTGCCAGGCGGCGGCCTCCCAGCTGCAGGCTGTTCCTCAACCAGCTGCAGGGGGTGGAGCCCCAGCGCGGCGTTTTTAGCCCGCCTCCGTCGCGCCCCCTGCCGATGAGGCGGCGCGACAAATGTGCAGGCCTGGAGGTTCGATTCTGCAATGTTACAAGCTGGTCTGATCTCACGAAGGGCTTTCTCTCTACCAGTACCTCAGCCATGGGCGCCATGTTCATTGCTGAACATCACCTTCGCCCCGAAGGTGTCGTCAAGGCCAAGAAGGATTCAAGAGCGATGGGTTGGAATCCATTTGTTCAAGCAGCCATCGATTCCCCAGGAGGCGGGACTCACGGGGGAGTGGCAGCGTTCTGTCAGAAGAGTCTCTGGTGTCAACGGTTCCTCTCGGGCGGGCGTGTCTGAGGTGCTCAATGTGGGCTCGGGGACTTGCTGGTTTTTCCTGGAGTTCAAACTTCATGGGCTTTCGGTGGCTATGGGCGTTGTTTCCCTGGTGTGTTCCATCGGGGCGACTGGTGAAAATCCTATGCGTTTGCGGCAGATTGCTGAGTTTACCAATTCCTTGAGTGTTCCTTGGGTTTTGCATGGAGATTTCAATATGTGTCCCGAGATGCTTGCCGAGTCTGGATTTTTGGAGCTTACGAGGTCTCGCGTGCGTGTTCCAGCTGGGGTTGAATACGCGTGTGACGTTGGCCGCACTATGATAGACTATGCATTTTGCTCCAAGGTCCTGGCTCCCTATGTTTCAGTCTGCACGGTGGCGCACTCCCCGTTCAAGACCCATGCGTGTTTGCATGCCACTATTTCTGGAGAAGTACTCCGGCAGGAGGTGCAGCGTAGGTTATGGGCGGCGGCGCTGCCTCAAGCTTGTGGGCCTGATCATTTGTGGTTGCATTACTTGGACATGGCTTGTGCGCGCGGCTACGATTGGCAGCCTCCGCCTGATGTTAAGGAAGCGTCACGTTGCCACACCCTCTCCTATGCTTCGGACGAGCTTTCGGAAGACTATGCTTTGTGGTCTCGGGCGGCGGAGATGGTATTTGTTTTCCGGGGATGTGCTGTGTTGGAACACTCGGACCGTGTTTTGGGGCGTGGTGGTCCTCTCCAGCGGTCCTCGGGGACCCTCAGGCGTCGGGGCCCCAACAAGCAGGCCTTCAACTTTCCGCACTTGTGTTTCTGGTCCATGCTCTACTCCCGTTTGTTCGGGTACTGGAAGGCCCTGAGTGGTAAGGCGTCCTCTGCACAGGCTAGGAAGTTTTTTTATTTCATCGTGAGCCAGGCGTACCAGGTCTTCTCCCATATTGAGCCCTTGCATGCCCCCGCTGAGGCGCAAGATTGGGCGACTGCATTGGCTGATCTTCCCGTCGGTCTTGATGCAGTTCGCCGGCTTGTTGATAAGGCCGCTGAGGTATGCGAGCAGGCGGTCAACCTGGCGCGTGCTTCTAATGAGGCTGGCATTCGTAAGTGGCTGAAGGAGGCGTTGCCGGGAGGGGCGAGGAAGGTTCACAATGAGTTGAAGAGAAATTCCAAACCTAGGGGTCGAGTACTTCCGCGCGCCGGACGGCACCCGCCAAACCCCTCAGGACATGATGCAGTACAGGCGCACCTTCTGGTCCAAGTGGTGGGCCCCGTCCCAGAAGCACCTGCAGGTCCTCAGTGATACGCTCAACGAGCTTCGTGCCCTGGCCCAGGTTTCGCTGATGGAGCTCCCTGATTTCGAAGCCCGGGACGTCTTGCAAGCGGCTACTTGTTTTTCTAGCAGTACAGCTGTGGGGGTAGATCAGTGGTCACCGCGGGATTTCCTGCGGCTTCCTGGCCAGGCTGTGCATTGTCTGGCTGCGTTGTTCACGGCCTGTGAGAAGGCCCTTGCCTTTCCACAGCAGTGCTATCTGAATATCATGGCCCTTCTCCCGAAGTCGGTGCAGGGCGAACGGGCCGTTTCGAAGTGTTCTACGCTCTACCGGATGTACGCGCGCATGCGTGGTGATCACATTCATGAGTGGACTGTTGCGCACACGGATTTCTGGGATAGCGCTGTACGGAATTCCTCGGCGCTTCAGGCGGCGCTTCTTCGCGAGCTGTGTCACGAGGTCGCGGGTGCACTCAGTTTCGAGTCTGCCTCCCTCCACTGGGACATGGAGAAATTCTTTGACTCGGTGGTTCCAGCGTTGTTGGTCCAGCTGGCTCTTAAGGCTCTTAAGGTTGGCTCCAAGGCGCGAACAGCTCCTGGCTCTTGCAAGCGTGTGGAAGTTTTTGACGCCAGGTCAACGCCTCGGAGTGCGACGCGCTTGGGTTCGGCACCGTGACCGGCTTACGGCGCTTCCACCCTCTCGTAGATGGCGCACTGTTTCTGGGCCGCTTGCGGCGACCATCTGCACCCTTCTGGGCCTCGAGTGGATTCCCACCTCGCCTACATCTTGGGGTTCGCCGGTGGGCATTCTCAATTTGGAAGATAGGGACTTCCTGTTCCACCTCGCAGCTGCCGTGCAGCAGACAGTTTCCCGAATGTGCTCTAGCAAGGCAGCTCAGCACTTTTGTGGGGAAGGCTTGGATGGGGGAGCTGATTTTACCGTGTTCCGGAGGATGCACTCCGCTTTCTTGAAAGATGGCAAGTATTCTGACGCTGCCTTGCTGGCGTGCATTGTCTCAGGGGGTACTTGGCCCGAGGCTCGACTTCAGGATGCCGGGTACCTCACAGACGGCATGTGCCCGCGGTGTGGGGTTGCTCGCGAAACAAGCCTCCACCAATGTTGGTCGTGCTCGGCCAATGCTCAGATCGATTCAGACCATATCCATCGATCCCAGGATATTGCTGCGATGGCGGATCGTCCTGAGCACGTTCGCAGTGCTTTCTGGAACCGTGGGCTTCCTCCTCTTGCTGCAGCTGTCGCACCTCTGCCGCCACCCCGCGATGTTCGTCAGTCCTGGGGCCTCTTCGATGGTGGCCGGAGGGTCCGTGGAGGCAGATTCGGACTGGACGGCTCTGGGGGTAAGTGGGC